AAAAAAAAAATATATTTTATTGATTTTTCACAGAGAGGAAGAGAGAGGGATAGAGAGTTAGAAACATCGACGAGAGAGAATCATCAATCAGCTGCCTCTTGCACACCCCCTACTGGGGGTGTGCCCGCAACCAAGGTACATGCCCTTGCCCGGAATCGAACCCAGGACCTTTCAGTCCGCAGGCCGACGTTCTATCCACTGAGCCAAACCGGTCCCGGCCCAATTGGTACTTCTTAATCGCTTCTCCTTTCACCCAGCACCTCTGGCAACCATCAGTTTGTTCTCTCTATCTGCTAGTTAGTTTGTTTTATTTGGTTGTTTATTCTATTCTTTAGATTCCACATAATGAAATCATATGGTAGTTGTCTTTCTCAGGCTGACTTATTTCACTTAGCAAATACCCTCTAGGTCCATCCATGTTATCACAAATGGTAAGGTTTCATTTTTTATGACTAAGTAGTATTCCATTGTGTGTGTCTGTGTATGTGTGTGTGTGTATGTATGTGTGTGTATATATATATACACGGTATATCAAAATGTCTTTATCCAGCCGAAACCGGTTTGGCTCAATGGATAGAGCGTCGGCTTGGGGACTGAAGGGTCCCAGGTTCGATTCTGGTCAAGGGCATGTACCTTGGTTGCAGGCATATCCCCAGTGGGGGGTGTGCAAGAGGCAGCTGGTCGATGACTCTCTCTCATCGATGTTTCTAGCTCTATCTCTCTCCCTTCCTTTCTGTACAAAATCAATAAAATATATATAAAAAAAGAAAATATTAAAAAATATATATATATTTAAAAAAATGTCTTTATCCAGTTATCTGTTGATATACACTTAAGTTTCTTCCGTATCTTGTTTATTGTAAATAACACTGCAATGAGCATGGGGCACATATTTTTTTCCAAGTTAATGTTTTAGACACATACCCAGTCATAAGGCACTTCCATGTTTTGTTTTAGGAACCTCCATACTATCTTCCACAGTGGCTGCACCAGGCTGTATACACACCAACAGTGCTTGAAGGCTCCCTTTTCTCCACATCTGTTTATTGATTTATTGATGTTAGTCATCTGGCAGGTGTGAAGTGATATCTCAACAGGGTCTTAATTTGCATCTCTCTGGTGATTAGTGACTTGGAGTATTTTTTCATATGTCTACTGGCCATCTTATGTCCTCTTTGGAGAAGTGTCTATTTTAGTCTTCTGCCCATATTTTAATTGGATTTTTAGGAGGGGTGTTAAGTTCTATATGAATCTTGGTTATTGATCCCTTATCTGATGTATCACTGGCAGATATCTTATTTTATTCACTAGGTTGTCTTTATCATTTCATTGATGATTTCGTTTGCTGTGCAAAAGCTTTTTAGTTTGATGTAGTCCCATTAGTTCACTTTTTGTTTTGTTTCCGTCACTCTAAGAGATATTTCAGAAAAAATATTGCTAAGAGAAATGTCAGAGTTTATTGCTTATGCTTTCTCCTAAGGGTTTTATGGTTTTGGGTCTTTTAAATCTTTAACCCATATTGAGTTTATTTTTGTATATCTAAAAAGATGGTCTAGTTTCATTTTTTGCATGTATCTGTTCGATTTTCTAACACCGTTTAATGAATAGATTGTATTTAACCCCATTATATATTCTTGCCTTTTCTTTGGTCAGATTTTAATTGTCCATGTAGGTGTGTATTTCTTTTTGGCTCTCTCTTCTGTTCCATTGATGTGTCTGTTGTTATGCCCGTATTATACTATTCTGATTACTAGGGCTTGTAGTATAGTTTGATATCAGGTAGTGTGATCCCTCCAACTTTGTTCTTCTTTCTTGAGATTTCTATTGCTACTTAGGGTCTTTGTGGTTCCATATAAATTTTTGGATTTTTTTGTTCTACTGTGAAAAACACTATTAGTAGTTTTACAGAAATTGCATTGAATCTGTACATTGCTTTGGGTGGTGTAGATATTTTAATGATGTTAATTCTTCCTATCCATAAACACAGTATATGCTTCCATTTACTTATATCTTCTTCAGTTTATTTCTTTAGTGTCTTACAGTTTTTTGAGTGCAGGTCTTTTACCTCCTTGGTTGCATTTATTACTAAGTTGTTGTGGATGTTTTTTGAGGCAATTGAAAATAGGATGTTTTCTTAGTATCTATTTCTGATAGTTCATCATTAGTGTATAAAATACAACCAATTTATGAATATTTATTTTGTGTCCCACTAATTAATAACTTCATTTATCAGTTCTATTGTTTTTTTGGTAGAATATTTAGGGTTCTCTATACAAAGTATCATGTCATCTGCAAATAATTACAGTTTTACTTCTTCCTCTCCAATTTGGATGCTTTTTATTTGTTTCTTATCTGATTGCTATGGCTAACACTTCTAATACGGAGTTTAATATGAGTGGTGAAAGTGGACATTCCTGTCTTGTTACTAATCTTAAGGAAACCACTTTAAGCATTTCTCTGTTGAGTATAATGTAGTTGCAGGTTTGTCATATATGGCCTTTGTTATGTTAAGGTATGTTTCCTCTATCCCCACTTTGCTGAAAGTTTTTATTATAAATGGGTGCTGGATTTTCTGCATCTATTGATATGATCATATGATTTTTATTCTTTCTTTTGTTTATGTGGTATATCAAGTTAATTAATTTGCAGATATTGTACCAACCTTTCACCCAGGAATAAATCTACTTGATCATGGTATGTGATCTTTTTATTGTGTTGCTGAATTCAGTTTGCTAATATTTTGTTGAGAATTTTCCATGTTTGTAATGTCTTTGTCATTATAATCAGAATAATGCTGGCCTCATAAATGAGCCTTAAACAAGCTGAAGGCTACGCTCCTCTTGAGTTTCTTTGAGCAGTTTCAGAAGGAGAGGTGTTATTCCCATAAGCCTTCTCCGAGTTGTCTTCTTCACAAAGAAGAATTTGGATTTCCATAAATTTTTATCAGAGCCTTATCACCCAAACCCTTCATTATCTGTCTCAATTATAGTTTTGAACCACCTTCAAAATTTGTTTCTTGAGTCATGGAAATCATGACTTAGACCTTTAATTTTCAGATTATTCTCCTAGTGCTTAAAGAAAAGTAAATTTCAGTTGGGTATATTTCACCAGAGGAAGGACATAGAAAAAAACTGGATCATTTATATAAATAGCACATTGTACCACAAACAAGTTTCCTTTTCTCAGTTGTTTTTGAAACAATAGGTGCTTTTGATTAATTTAATTCCTAGTAGATTCTAACTTCTAAAAAACTGTGATTTGCATTCTTCTGTGGGTATATGGCTGCCTGATCCGAAAAAAGGCAAGAGGTGTGTTCTCTGATGGCCCAGTGAACAGTAAGAAAACGGCTGGAACAGGCCAGCACGTAACACCTTCCCCGGGTGGGCATGGGGCGGGGAGGCGGGTAATTTGTTTTACAGTCATTTTCTCGGCAGCTTCTGTCCTGAGAAATCCTGAGGGGCCCTGAGCACTGGCCCTGCTACCTCCTAACTTCATTTACTGAAAAGCGGCGTGTCTGCTGTAAGCTGTTCTCCTCAGCTGTGCCCGTTCCTTCTCCCTGATCACTTGGCGTCTGTACTCAGGTTTTCCTCCAGGAAAGGAAAGCATTTCGCTTGCCTTTGGGCTGGGGAGCAGAGCCAGAGCCTGGCCTGCACTTGGCCTCACCTTCGCCAGGCTGCCTTCAGCAAGTCGCCGTCCTTCCTCCCCCAAAGTCCCTGTGTGGAGGGAACAACTCGGGTCTCAGATGATCGTGAGGTCCCTTTCCCTCGGATCTCCCATGATTCTCACAGCACCAGGTCTTCTCATTGCTCCATGGAGGGACCATGAAAAGAAAGAGGAGTTGGGCTCAGCAGCCAATTGGGAAAAGGAGACATTCCGTTGTCCCCTTACTCCTCTCTCCCAAGGACTCAGAATCAGTGGCAGGTGAAGGGTGGGAATGAGTGCTCACTGGCCACCTCCCAAGTGTCAAGCACCGTTCAAGCACTCGACGAAAGAGTGGATGCACAAGGTGTTCTTCGCAACCACAGCCCATGCAACCCCCATCCCTACCCAGAGGGGTCCATCCACATCCTTCAGGTCTCACTTAAGTTCTCACCTCTTCCCTGAAGCCTTCCCTGACCCTCTGATTGTTTGGCCTGGGTTAGGTTTCCCTGTCCTATGTTATGGTTCTCCTACTTCCCTTCACTGCCTCCGACCACAGAGGCAAGTGAATAACTATCTGTACAGATGAATGTTTTCACGCCTCAGCTGAAATCTCCATGAGGGCAGGAAGCACAGAAGTGTTGTTTCGCTGTATTTCTAGAACTTAGCACAGTGTTGATGAGATAACAGCAGTTCACGAAGGATTTCTTGAATGGGCGTCGTAAGCATGAGTGCTCAAATGGGGTGGGTGAATAGCAGAGCTGGGCACCGGCCCAGAACTCTCGGCTCTTGGAGACCAGACTGAGACTTCAGAAGCTCCTGCTGTGCGGTGTACTGGCACGCCACGGCCTCTATCCACAGCCATCCTGTCTCTGCAGCAGCAGGAGCAGCAGCGGGAGGGCCAGCAGTGCTCTCTGGACACTGGCCCTGACGGTGTCTGTGAACTGGTTGGAGATCACGGATCCTCCTGAGCCTGTGGTGGCAGGAGGTGGGCGGGAGGAGGCATTGAATTAACCCAAATCAAATGTCCTTGGTGGCCATTTGGCACACTTTCTCGTACACTCTGCCAAGGCCTGTGAATAAGCAACAACATTCTGTAAGGGATCTAGGCAGTCAGAGTGAGTGCGCAAGAATGAAGGAAGCAAAAGCAAGGCATGACAACCTGCGGGGAAGCAGAACTACACTCCCCTGTGGAGCCTGCGGACAGAGCCCACCCCGCTCAGGAGCCTGCAGGCCCGTGCTGTGTCCCAGCCCGGCTGTGGCCCTGGGGAGCCTGCTGAGAGGCTTGGCCCCTCACTTCACACCCACTGCCTGCCACCACTGCCTGCCACTGACAATAGAAATTTGGTTTCTTCTTCTAGACAGAAAGCTTTGGCGTCCACCGGAGGAAGAAGTGTGCAAGCCGCATGTGACTGGTTGGTATAAAATAGCTACATTGATAACACGACACTTGATCAACCCTAAATATATGCGGGTGAGCAGGGTGTGGCCTCTTTAGTGAACCTTGGGGGTGGGGCGAGGAAGACCCTGACTGGACCATTCAGCCAGCCAGCTGCCTCCTCACGCTGCCCCAGGGCGTTCTTCTCCATAGTAGCTGTAGTAGCCTTGGTTAGAGACCCAAGTGTGTCTCAGAGAGCCTCACAGATTATAGCTGCCTGCCCTCCAGCCACTGACAGACACAATCAAACTGTGTGGACGCTGCCCAAGTCAATTTAGGAAAATACCACCCACCTTTCAGGACATCACTGACCAGGGCAGAGCCGAGGGGCGGCTCCCAAGCGTCCCTGGCCTTTGGGGGGCGCTGGCTTAATCATCGGCTGAGCTGAAGGAGCCCCGGTGAAGGGCCCTGGCTTAGGAAAGGGCTGGGGTTTCCCTGAGAATGGCTCCCGGGGCGGCGTCAGGTTCTGAGGGAGCCAGGCTAAGGCACCGCGGGCACAGGGTGAAGTGTGAGCTGCGAGGGAAGCAGAGGGAAAGCCCTGCACAGGAGCCGCAGCCCGTGCCTGACCCCGGCTCTCCCCAGGCTGTTCTCCCACGTGGGCGACCCCTTCCTGGACGACCCGCTGCCCCGGGAGTACGTGCTGTACCTGCGCCCCACGGGCCCCTTGGCCCAGAAGCTCTCCGACTTCTGGCAGCAGTCGAAGCAGATCTGCGGCAAGAACAAGGCGCACAACATCTTCCCCCACATCACCCTCTGCCAGTTCTTCATGGTGAGCCGCACCCCAGCCCTGCCAGACGGGACGTGGTGCCCAGACCCCAGCCGCCTGGTGGGACCCGGAGTTACAGAGTAAGAGCTGTGACCCAGTTCCAGGCCATCGGGAGTGTGCAGGTCCCGCCTCACAGACGCGCGTGTGTGCGCGCGTGTGCGTGTGTGCATGTGTGTGCGGTGGCCTCGGCCTCAGCCTGGGCGGAGGGTGCCCTGAGGACCATGGAGCCAAGCTCCCCTAGCCCCAGAGTGCAGCGCCTGCTTCCCTTCCAGTGCGAGGACAGCAAGGTGGACGCTCTGGGGGAGGCCCTGCAGGCCACCGTCGGCCGCTGGAAGGGCAAGTTCTCAGTGCCGCTGCCCCTGGAGCTCTACACCTCCTCCAACTTCATCGGGCTCTTTGTGGAGGAGGCCAGCGCTGATGCCCTCAAGAAGTTCGCTGCTGACTTTGCCGCGGAGGCTGCGTCCAAAACCGGTGAGCCTGGTGGGGGACGCGGTGCTGTGAGGAGCGGGTGGGGCTGGGAGGTGGCCCGCAGGAAGCGGCCGAGCAGGACAAGGAGCACGTCCCCTCCCGGGAGCACTCCTCTGTGCTGCTCTGCTAACTTTCCGGAGAGAATGCCCAGGGCTTCTCCCCACACCGAGCAGAAGGAGCACACACACCTGCGCCCCATTGAGCCACTGAGCTAGGAACCTTCCTCCCTTCCCCCAGCCCTCCCACGCAGGCGCCCACCCGGCCGGCGCTCCGGGCCAGGGCAGCGTAGCACAGAGAGGAGAGGGGGACTCAGAACCAAGGAAAGGTCATCTCCACCGAGCACGCCCTGCGACCTAGAAGGCCATTGGACACCCCTAAGCCTCAAAAGCCGCCCACTAGTCCCTCTCCAGCAGCCCTTCTGCTCTCTCGTGGCAGCTCTCAGCGTAAGCTGCTGTGATTCCCACGACAGGAGTTAGCTTACAGGGGCGCTCAGGGTGCTGGGGACAGGCGACAGGCATTTGTGTGTGTGTGTGTGTGTGTGTGTGTGTGTGTGTGTATGTTGGGGGGGGGGGTGTCCCTCCTCTCTGACCACACCGGTGCAGACAAGCTCCCCGAGCTGCAGGACAGACAGACAGTGAGGTGAGGCGGTGTCTGGGCTCCCTGAGAGTGGAGTTAGCGGCCGGGGCTCAGTGGAAAGCTGCGGGGTCTCCATAAACAGGACAGCCAGACGTGGTTCCTCCTGGCGGAGCCGGGAGCCTGGCTGACACAGGAGCTGGCAGAGCCCAGAAGAGAGGCCACCCCTGGAGGGCGGCTCGCCGCTTAGTAGGAAGGAGCTCACGAGGCCATGTCGGTCCTAGACGAAGGGTCCCTGCAGGGCAGGCGCCCCACCCCAGCCCCAGCAGAGAGGCCACGGGGGCCACCCGTCCGCCCTCCCGCCCTCACGGAGGGCTGAGCCAGGGCCAGAGGGACCAAGCTGCCTGTGCCATCTCATGTGGAGCAGGGCAGGGCCGCCTGGGGTCCAGGCGGGGTCCTCCCAGCCAGCGGGGCTGTGCGGGCACCTCTTCACCAGAAAAGCCCGAGCAGGGAGCAGGACTGGGCCGGGAGTGTGCGGAGGGCCAGCCCCCGAGATGCTCCGGCTCCCTCGGGTCCAGCCTGGAAGGTCCCCTCCCCAACCCCCTGCTCCTGGACCAGTGTCTGCTTCTGGACGTGGGTGCTTGTCATGTCACAGGGCCTGACATTCCAGAGAAATGGCCCATGGAGAGGACAGTGGTGTCCTGTGTGCATCCTCCTTTCTCAGGGAAACAGCTCCTGTTCACCCTCAGCACCATGAAAACCCCACAGACACCAAACTCCCGTTGTAGCCAGGAAACCCGGGTGCCTCACACAGGAGCAAAGCGGTTTCCCCTGGGCCTGGGCTGCTTTCCTGGTGGGAGGGAGAGAAAGCCCTTCCTCTCCAAGATATCTTCCCCCACCACTCCCTCTCTTCCCCACTACACAGAGTTGGTTTCTGGGCCCTATCTCCGCCCCCTGCTGGTGGTTTCCTTGCAACCTAGAAGCCAGCCATCAGGGCTTCGCCTTGGTGCTGTGGAATTTGGGGACCCTCAGACTCCTTCAGCAGGTAGATTCAGTGTTGCCCTCCACTGGGAGACCCATCCCTGTGTCTTTGTTCATTTAACAAGGACTGAGCACTGGGATCCAGTGTGAACAGACCAGCCCTGGCCCTCCAGGCTCACACGGAGAAGCAATGCAGTATCACAGAAAAGGTGCCCCAAACCCAAGGACCCGCTCCCGCTGCATCTCTGTGGGGTCTGAGCGAGCCTCTTAGTTCCTCAGCTCCCTAAACCAGCAGTCGCCGACCTTTCGGACCTCACAGACCACCATGGCCACCGCTACCCTAACCCTCTCTGGCTGCAGCTTCTTCTAGGCTGGCCCGGCCAGGAGCTGCGCTCCCCACTGAGAGAGACACAGGCACGGAAGCAGAGCGGCCTGGAGGCGGGCGGCTGGCTTTGCTTGTTTCTGGGGTGTCTTAGAGGAGCGGTCTGTCTGCTTTAAGCCGGGGTTCCAACCAGGTTGGAGCGTTGGCCCCAGGGGACGGCCAGCAATGTCCGAGCCGTTTCCGGCGGTCACACTCGGGCGCTGCTGTAGCCTCCAGGAGGGCAGCACCCAAACAGAGTCATTTCACCCAAATGCTGTTGAGAATCCCTGTTTCAAACTTAGAAAATGATTGTTTTCCTTCATTTCTCCATCAGAGCCACTCAGAAGCTAAGAGACTTGATTTCACCAAAACCAAGGCAGCGTAGCTTTGAGAGTCGCTTGGCGACCTTTGCTCTGTTTCGCGTGAATGAGTCCTCCCCGGGCGGGCTTCCTCCCCTGAGCGGTGGGCTGCTCCTGCGGATTGTCACGAGGGGGGCACCCTGCACGATGGCCTCCCAGCCTGCGCGGCTCCACAGACTGTGCTCCCCACCCCTCGGTGCTGTGCGGCGGCCTGTGCCCGCCGTGCAGGGGGAGGTGCGCTGGGTGACCGGGCGCCCCGCTGTGCCTGGGGAAGCAGGACTCCGTTCCCCCTCAGCTCCAGCGCTGAGCCTAACAGACCCGGCTCCTTCCTTTTCCAGAAGTGCACGTGGAACCTCATAAGAAGCAGCTGCACGTGACCCTGGCTTACCACTTCCAAGCCAGCCACCTGCCCACGCTGGAGAAGCTAGCCCAGAGCATCGATGTCAAACTAGGGTGCGACTGGCTGGCAGCCATATTCTCCCGGGATATCCGATTTGCTAACCACGAGGTAATGTTGCCTGGGGCTCCTACAGGAGCAGCGGGAAGGGAGCGGGCAAAGCCAGGAGCTTGCTGCTCGCTGGGCTGGGGGGAACAGGGGGACCATCCGGGAGCCGCCGTGGGAGGGAATCGCACTGCGGCAGGCCCGGGCGGCTCCTCGTCCCTGACGGAGAAGCTGAGTCACGGAGGTTGGGGGCTGCTCTGAAGCGGAAAAATTTAGGGCCAGAGCTGACACCAGAATTCAGCGATTTTGACATTGAAGATGGGCAATCCATCTAAAAACAGACCACATGGTTTGATGAAACAGTAGCCGTCCAGTTTAGCTACATTTATTAATAGCACTTACATTTGTTTCCTAGTTTTTGTTTTTGTTTTTAACAGAAGAACTGACTTCTTAAAGTTTATATAGTCTTTTAACATTTCTTTTAGATTTTATAAAATATGAAAAATTGTTAGAACCTCAAAGTCTAGACCAGACAAGCTCTCGTCGATTTGGAGTGCTGGGAACAGCAACCCAGACACAGGGGCGGGCAGGGGCGCGGGGCGGGAGAGCCAGGAGGCAGCTCCCCGCTGCCCAGCGGCTGCCTCCGCCTTTCCGCGTCTCTGGGAAGACACTGAAGGAGCCTGGGCTGGACCTGACTGGAGACTCTGGCGTCTCCTGGACAGCAGCCTCCGGGCGCAGGGCCGTGCTCAGTGGCCGGGTGGCCGCCTGCTTTCTGAGAGAAGCTGCTTTGGAGAGCCGGAGGCTTCTGCATTTTCCAAGGGCACCTCAGTCAGCTCTGTCCTCGGGCACCTGCCTGGCCCACACTGGGCTCGGCTGACACTTAGGGAAGAGACGCTCAGATGAATTATTTTTAAAAATAACATGGCCTCTTTGTCTCCTGTTTGTTAAAGCTCATTTGTCCTGTCCCCGCTGAGGGCTCCCCGCCTCTGCAGGTGTTCACGCTGAGCCTGGCGCCTGTGGCAGGAAGGCAGGGCCTCACTGCCCTCTCTGCCCCAGACCTTGCAGGTGATCTACCCCTACACCCCCCAGAATGACGACGAGCTGGAGCTGGTCCCGGGGGACTTCATCTTCATGTCGCCCGTGGAGCAGGCCAGCACCAGCGAGGGCTGGGTCTACGGCACCTCCCTGACCACCGGCAGCTCGGGGCTGCTGCCCGAGAACTACATCACCAAGGCCGACGAGTGCAGCACCTGGGTGTTCCACAGGTGAGTGCCGCGGCCGGAGGGCGGACCGAGGCCCGTGAAGGCAGCCTGTGGGCTCCGGGCTCCCGGCTCCCGGGGAGAGCTGACGTGGGGATGAGAGAGCTGAGCCATGGGAGCTCTTCCTGCCCGTCCAGTGGAGCTGTCGGTCTGAGTTCCAGATTGGAGACTACACTGAGGCTGCTGGGACCCCTCTGATGGCTGAAGCGTGGGTCCTGAGTTTTCATGGCTCCAGGTTTATGTCCGCCGGGCCAGCAGGGTCAGAGATTGCAAGTGTCAGGAGACCAACCCGCCCTCAGTTAGTATGTGGCTCCGAGCCAGTGCTCAGACTGGGCACGTGAGTGTTTAGGTTAGGGGTGTCGAACTCAATCAGAGAAGGGGCCAAAATCTAAAATCCAGCCTAAATTGCGGGCCGAATGGTTTACTGAACAGTCATAAACTGTCATTGTGATGGAATCGCAGCGGAGTGCAGTGATGACAGCGCGGTGCGGGCCACATTGCAAGGCCTGGCAGGACGGATTTGGCCCGCAGGCCTTGTGTTTGACACATGTGGTTTAGGTGATAGTGTGTGTTCATGGAGATAGGCAACTATCTGCAGAGCCTGGAGACACACGTGGTCCCTGGTTGTCTTTGGCAGTGGCCTGTGGCTAGCTTTGTGTCCCAGTAAATAAAATAGAAATAAAGGCGCCTCTCTCTCTCTCTCTCTCTCTCTCTCTCTCTTCTCTCTCTCCCTCCCTCCCTCCCTCTCTCTCTTTCTCTCTCTCTCTTTAAAATATATTTTATAGATTATTTTACAGAGAGCTAGAAACCTTAATGAGAGAGAAACATCGACCAGCTGCCTCCTGCACCCCCCCCCCCCCCCAACCAGGGATGTGCCTGCAAACAATGTACATGCCCTTGACCGGAATCGAACCTGGGACCTTTCAGTCTTCAGACGGATGCTCTATCCACTGAGCCAAACCGGTTTCGGCCGCGCACCTTCTCTCTCTTACTCAGAGGAGCTTCGGGTCTGCCCTTCCCGGACACACAGGGGTCCCACCAGTGTGTGTGAGGTCTGTCCTGTGTGTGTGCCCCAGGCCCGCGTGACTGAGCTGGGAGCTCTGGGCACAGAGGTGCCCCACATCGTGTGGTCACCATAGAAGAGCAGCAGACGGGCTTCAGTGCGTGTTCCTCCTGGCTTCAGGTCTGGTGGGAAAAGGGAAAGAGTCGCTGCCCTGGTTGGCAGCACACACCCGAGTGGGGAGAGAACATCTTCCCTGATCCCCGGGCCCTAGCAGCTCCCTCTTCCTTCCAGTCCCCCACGTGACCCCATGAACACCAGCATTTGGGGCTCAGATCAGAAGGTTGGAGCTGCCTCGTGTTCCCTAAGTATTTGCTTTTTCGGAAATAAAAAAAAAATTGGGTTTCCAAAGTTTCCCTTTTAGCCTGTGAAAGCGAGTGAAGCATAACACTCCTGAATAAACAGGACTAAGGCTCGGTCTGAGGATCACCACCCTTAGGTTGAGTCCCGAAAAGCAGGCTCGCACTGAGGAGCAGACAGCCCACTCTTGCCCAGGTTAGAGCTCAGGGTGAAATGACTGCTATCTGTCCTGGGCCAGGGAGGGAGTCTGCGTTGTCATCTAGCGATGACTCGCGTGCTGTTCTCTGAGACCAGCCCTGCTGAGTGGAAACACTAACGTGAGGGATTAGGGCGCCGTGTGGAGAGGCTGAGCTTTCATTCCAGCAGTCCTCCTCGACCCTCCCGTTCACTAGCTGTGCGGCCTTGCCAGGCTGCTTTATCCTTGGAGCCTCCATTTGCTGATCTGCAAAGTGACTGTGATAATGAACTGCAGTCAGCTGGGGGAGGGGAGGGGCTGTGGGGGAGGGCCTAGCTTTGCTGGGATCAGGGCACCTGCCTAGCAGCACTGAACTGAAGTCGTCATTAGCTTTATGATTTTCTCTTCCTTCTAACCTGCGTTTTCTGGTCCTCGTTATATGCTCAGCAAGTCAATGGTCTCTTCTCCAAAACTGGTCCTGTAAGAGAAGGGCACCCGGAGGTGGGAATGGCTCAGGGAGGCAGACTTCTCTCACCCCTAGCCTCAGCGGTGTGGTCTGGCCCGCCTGGCATGGTGGGCCCTTGGGGAGGAGATTCAAGCAACAAGTGGAGCCTGGGCCTGTGGCCTTTCACAGCCTTCCTCCCTAACCTCAGGTCTCTGAGTGCGTCCAGGGGACACTGTCTCCCCTTCCCCCACTCCTTTCTCAGAGCATCTGGCCTGGTTAGTGTCCCTGGACAGCTGTCAGTGGTGCGGCCTGTTGTGTCCTCTGAATTGTGGTGGCTGGTTGGCCCTGGGCTTATCCTCAGGCCCGGCACTTGGGAAGAGGCACTGGCTGTGAGCTCTGCGCCCCTCGCTGCTCTCAGCGGAAAGCACTGCCTGTGGTCTCACTGGAACTGACAGCCCCACTGCTCCAGGGAGCCCAGGCCTCATCCCAGAGAAGAAGGGGGCACGCTCCTGGCACTGCCTGTGGCCGGGCTCTCAGACCTCACAGCGGAAGGAAGGAGGCAGTGACGGGTCAGGAAGCATGGGCAGGCGGTTCCACCCAGCAGGTGGGGCCCTCAGGCTTGAGAATCTGAGAGTGGGACTGGATTTTCTTTGACTCTGAGATGCTGGCAGGTCTTCGTTTAAAACAAAAGAGAATAACCAAGATTTCCTTGATCTACAGTTGTCTAAATTTTACCAAATTAGGTTTCATTTGGCCACACATCACACTAACTGAGACATCTTGGTTAAACTGGGTTCCTGGGCTCCCCCCACACTGTGAGTCCTGGTCTGTGCGGAGCGGCCTGACCCACGCGCGGGGTAAACCTCCCGGTGACTAGGATGTGTGCGAGGGCTGAAACACCGGTCTGCAGGCATGAGCATGGGTGGCCTTTGTGTGTAAAGAGGGGGAGTCTATTTACAGTTATAGAAAGGGGCGCCTTGGAGAATGAAGAGATGCTAAAATCACTAAAACCAGACAGGATTTTTGTTTTGTTTGTTTAATCCTTACCCAAGGATATTTTTCTTTTCTTTTCTTTTCTTTTTTTAATATATTTTATTGACTTTTTACAGAGAAGAAGAGAGAGGGATAGAGAGTTAGAAACATCGATGAGAGAGAATCATTGATCAGCTGCCTCTTACACGCCTCCTACCAGGGATGTGCCCGCAACCAAGGTACATGCCCTTGACCAAAATCGAAACTGGGACCTTCCAGTCCACAGGCCCACACTCTATCCACTGAGCCAAACTGGTCTTGGCCCCAAGGATATTTTTCCATTGGTTTCTAGAGAGAGTGAAAAGGACAGGGAAAGGCACACGGAGAGAAACATCAATATGAGAGAGACACATCAACTGGCTGCCTCATGCAGGCTCCCCAGCCAGGGCCAGGAATTGAGCCTGCAACCCAGGGAACACGCCCTTGACTGGAATCAAACCTGGGACCCTTCAATCCACAGGCCGATGCTCTATCCACTGAGCCAAACCACCATGCCCGTACAATTTTTAGAAAGAATTTTTACTAACAACCAGTTAGCTTTATTATATTCGTAACTATAAGAAGTTTATTTAAGTTAAAATTATAAGAATAATACTGTGTTACAAATAAACAATCCAGAGTGGATGTTAAGCTGTACAGATTGCTGGATCAGGAGACAAGCCAGGCTATGCAGGCTGCCTGGGACCTGTGGCTGCCCTCGTTCTAAGAAGTGAGGAATCTAAAACTTAAATGCTCTCCCTTAATACTGCCCGGCATGCTGACGGAGATGGCCACCGGATTTGCCTAACAGCCATGCTTAAATCTCAGTGTTTACTAAATAGGCTTTTTGGAGGATTTACTAATCCAGTAATTTCAACCTGATGTGAGTTGCTGCCTCCATTTAGCAAGGCCTCTTTGGGCTCCTGCAATTCTGGGATCACCCTGAAGGGGGAGCTCTAGGCCAGCAGCCCAGCATCTGGTGGGAAATGCCCTGTGGGACAGGGAGGTAGAAGGGGGTGGGGGGAGGGCGGTAGGAGAGGAGGAAGTGGCCATGAGGTTTCCTCAATTATGAGAAGCCACAGGCAAAGTGGTGGAGTCAGGGAAATGCTCCTTGGAATGTGTGGGTGGAAGAAAACCACCGCAGAAAAGATGAGAGACAACAGGAATCCTTTATTTCTTTTGAGCCTGAAAAAATAGGTGGAAACAACGGTACAAAATTGACACTTCATTATTCTTTGTGACTTCAGTGTGACCATGCCTATGGCCCCTTAGCACAGAGTACCTGAGGTGCCATGGGCCTGTTCTTGCCCAGGGGGTGAATTCTTCTACTCCAAACAGAGACACCATCTGCCCCGAATTGATTGACAGCTGACTTCAGCATAAAGCAAGATGCGGTCCCAGGAAGGGGGCACCCCCACTGAGCTTTCCCAACCCTGGGCTGACCCGGAGCGTTTGCTGCCAGTCCCCACACCCCAGGAGCCCATGGCTGAAGGGCTGAGGACTCCCAGCTGACGCAGTGAACTTCTTTCTTTATCTTCCTCTGCAGTTCTTACTCCATCTTAAACGCATCGTCTTCCAACTCGCTCCCATTTGGTGATGGCATACTGGACCGGCGTTCGTACGAGGACCAGGGCCTGGGGGAGATGGCGCCCCTCACCATCGTCTGCCAGCCCTCGCAGGTGAGGCTACCCCCGGGGCTCGCCCTCAGAGGCACTCAGCTCCCTGAGCACCTGTTACCATGGATGAGGCCACTAACACACATACACACTGGAGACGAGGAGAGCGGAGATGGGTCCTGACAGCATCTGGTCTTGCCGTGAGGAAGGCTCTTGGCAGAGGGGAGCCTGTCATCTGTGCAGCAGCAATCACAGGCCGTGGTGAAGATCAGAGGGAACAGGGCAGGGGGTGGGTAAAAAGGTGAAGAGCAGTGAGAGGTGCAAATTCTAGTTATAAAATAGATATATTATGGAGATGTAATAGAAAGCACAGATAATATAGTGAATCCTATTTACTAAAGAGGTAATGTGCAAATTGACCATCACTTCAACACACAAGATGGCCACCCCTATGTGGACACAAGATGGCTGCAGGGGAGGGCAGTTGTAGGCAATCAGGCCTGCAGAGAGGGCAGTTGTGGGGGACCGGGCCTGCAGGGGAGGCAGTTGGCGGGGGGAACCAGGTCTGCAGGGGAGGCCAGTTGGGAGGGACCAGGCCTGCAGGGGAGAGCAGTTGGGAGCAACTGCCAGGGGTCCTCAAACTTTTTAAAGTGGGGGCCAGATCATGGTCCCTCAGAGAGCTGGAGGGCCGGACTATATGAACTACTAATTCCTACTGTAACACCTCGGCTGCGCTCACTGCCCAAAAAACCTGGTGGGCCGGATCAGACTCCTCTGCAGGCCGCATGTGGCCCGTGGGCCGTAGTTTGAAGACGCCTGAACTAGGCCTTCAGGGTAGGGCAGTTGGAGTGACCAGGCCTGTAGGGGAGGGAAGTTGGGGGTGATCAGGGAAGGACAGTTAGGGGCGACCAGGCTGGCAAGAGAGGGCAGTTAGGGGTGACCAGGCCATCAGAGAAGGGCAGTTAGGGGCAATTGGGCCAGCAGTGGAGCAGTTAGGCATCGGTTAGGCTGGCAGAGGAGTGGTTAGGGGATAATCAGGCTGGGCAGGTGAACAATTGGGAGTTAGCAGTCCTGGATTGTGAGAGGGAGTCCGATTGCCCATTTAAAAACGGGCAGTTGGACATCCCTTGAGGGGTCCCAGATTGGAGATGGTGCAGGCTGGGCTGAGGGACACCCCCACCCCCCATGCATGAATTCCATGCTTCGGGCCACTAGTAATATCAATATCATAACTCTGTTTGGTGACAGATGGTTACTTATACACCTTAAGGTATATAAATGTCAAATCGCTATGTTGGACACCTGAAACTAATGTACTGTTATATGTCAATTATACTTTAAAAGAAAACATTAAAGGCAGGAATAAGGCTGTTAGCTCAGTACCTGGTGCACAGTGAGTGTTCGGTGTACATTGGAGCACTTGGTATATGTCAGAAAGTTTCCAGAATGAAGAGTTGGGAGAGTAGTTTGAAGAATACAAAGGCAAGTTGTAAGTTCAAAACTGTTGAGGATTAAGACACTAGATCACTTTGGCTAGAGCTCAGGGCTTGAATTAGAAAACAATAAGGGGAGACAAGGGGAAGACATGCCACCACCCATATATTAACTTCCTCCTTGGGAGCCAAGGTAAATGCTGGTCAGCATGACACCCGTAGCCCTAGGGGAACTGGGAATGGCTCTTAAAGGGACATCTACTGCAACCCACCCAGCAGCTGTAGAGACCACGTCGTCTGGGCATGCCTCTGACCAGACATGCCTGTTTCATTACCTGATGTCGCAACTGTCCTCCCAGAACCATCTCCAGGAGCACCAGCTTGTAGGAGTTGGACAGTAGAACTAAACCATGGTGAGAGCAGGAAGGCAGGCCCTCACTGCTGGAGGAGACTGCTGGACCGTGTGGTCTAACACATGCACGGAGAGGTGAGGCAGACGTGTTTGTGGTGATGAGCATCCTCACTCCCTGAGGGAGCTGCAGAGGCCTCTGTGGAGGGAAGCATGCTGTCCCACCAGTGACTTTCTCTACGAGCCAGCTAGCTTCACCTCAAAGAAGTAACTGCTCCTACTGACAAGAGCAGCTGCACTGATAAGGCCGTTTTCTAACCCTTCTGATTTCTCAAAGCACCTGTAGTTCATCACATTTGAGCCTCAAAATAACCTGTGTGGTCTGCAGAGGATAGGCCAAGTCCTACATTCACAGAACCTGCTCTGGCGCTCAGCTTGGCTGCACCTGGCCTGGCCTGTCCACTGTCTCGTGTTCTCTCCACTAACAGCTGTTCCTTACCTGCAGCCTCTGAAGGCCAGCAGCCAGCCTGGCTCCCAAAAGAGGTGCCTCTTTGTGTGTCGGCATGGCGAGAGGATGGATGTCGTCTTTGGGAAGTACTGGCTATCCCAGTGCTTCGATGCCAAAGGTGAGCAGCTGTTTGTCCTCTTTGGCATTGCTATGCCTATCATGGCCTCTAGAGGGCACAGTCAAGCTGCATCTATCTATCAATAGATGCAGTGCTCATTTCTAGCTAAGAGGGTTGTAGAAAAGCCTGCAATATTCATAAGCCCTTCCTTGATCGTCTGGTTAGGGAACAGGTTAAGTGTTCTTGTCTAGAATCTGTAAACTGGGACACCAGGGGACAAAGGCGGATGTTTCGCCCGCGGTCACATGGCCAAATCAGAGGCAGGAAGGGGCATCCTGATTCCACGGCCAGGGCTCCTCACTCAGTTCGCCCTGACTCATGCTGGTTCCATTTCCTCTGAGTGGCCTGTTTCACACAGGGAGGTTACAATTCAGAGCAGCCCCCTGCTGAAGAGTGTCTGGTTACTATTTTCACTTAAAAACTACCTCTTGTCACTTTTGTCAGCAGAATAGAGGAGTGGATTCCCAGACATTCTAACAAAGGGAAAGTGTCGGCCTTGACATTTCCTAGAAAGCCCAATTTTGTCTCTTGGGCTAAAAAGGAATGGAAATAGAGAGGCTATCAGGATCAGCAGTGAAAATCCTAACGGAAACGAGAAACTCACATGGCCTTGTACGACGTTTTTCTAGGCCGCTACATTCGCACCAACCTGAACATGCCTCACAGCTTACCTCAGCGGAGCGGTGGCTTCCGGGACTACGAGAAAGACGCTCCAATCACTGTGTTTGGGTGCATGCAAGCAAAACTAGTGGGTGAGTGTCCTGGAGTAATCGCACAACTGGCTTGGCCACATGTTCAGGATTCTGGTCCCAGTGGGCATGCCAGGACACTTCTTGAAGGATTCTATAACTTCTCTACAGGTAGTACATTTCCTCAAGGAATTTCTTCTTTTTAAAAATACATTTTTATTGATTTCAGAAAGGAAGGGAGAGGGAGAGAGATAGAGACATCAATGATGAGAGAGAATCATTGATCGGTTGCCTCCTGAATGGCCCCCAGTATGGATTGAGCCCACAACCCAGGCATGTGCCCTTCATCAGCATTGAACCTGCAACCCTTCAGTCTGCAGGTATATGCTCTATCTACTGAGCCAAACCGGCTAGGGCTCCTCAAGGGACTTCTTATGTCACCACGAAGTTTAGGACACTGCATGTAGCACCGGATACTTTACCAAAGTGTAATTCCTATTGAGGGTGTATGGAACAGAGATGAGCGAGGTCATGCTTGGTGTGGCAAAGAGGTCAGCTTCTAGCACAGGGTGAGGAACAGGGAACCTTGGAGGTGGATGTATAGCGGCCAGTTGATCCTTTGAAGATGCTCAGTTCTTTGCAGAGAGCCTGCCTCAGAGAGACAGCAGCCTTGTCCTAAGTGACCTCACTTGTGCTGATGATCATTCTTTGTGCAAGACAGTTCTAGTGCTGGGGATCCAAGCAGGAGTCCCCACCCTCAGGGAAACAAGTTTGTAAGTACATAAATGCCTCACAAGGTGGCATCCAAAAATAAAAGATGTACACAGAATTATGGGTGCAACAGCGAGACAAGGGACCCAGTATGGCAGTTGAGTAGGTGGAAGTTACACTCACCTCCTCCCAGATCAAACTGGAATCACAACTAAATTGTAGAACAATAAACCTGAATGACCGACTGAAGACCAGTTAAACAGAAGTCTTATAACCAAGGGTTTACAGAAGAAGCCGCATTGACATTGTAGGAAGGACAGAGACATGAAAAGGGCTGGCCCTGCTCCCAGAGGGTGGCTGTCCCAGCTGCACAGTCGCCAGGCTCCCAGCCCAGAGCTCCAGAGCTGGGAAAAGGAGCCACATAATACCTGGCTGTAAAAGTCAGCACGGATTCTGTCTGCTAAGAAAAGATAGGAGTCTCCTAAGAAACCCAGGCGTACTCTTAAAGGGCCAAACACACAAAATGTCATTTGCAGCCAGTTACCCTGAGCTCCCACAGAAGAAAGAGACTTGGAGCAAATAAGGAATTGTGTGTGGCTGCCAAGAGAGAGCTGAAGGGTCAGCTACCAGGGTCCATGAGCTGAGCCCCTCTCGAACACTGCCCACAAACACCATCATCCTGGATTGAGCACTGCTCTTCATACAGCATCATCCTAGAGCAGTGGTTCTCAACCTTTCTAATGCCTCGGCCCTTTAATACAGCTCCTATGTTTTGGTGACCCCCAACCATAACATTATTTTTGTTGCTACTCCATTACTATAATTTTGCTATTGTTATTGAATCGTAATGTAAATATCTGTGTTTTCCGATGGTCTTAATCTGTGTTTTCTGATGGTCTTAGGCTCTACAGCAGCAGTTCTCAAAATTGCAGTTATGAAGTTGCAACAAAAATAATTTTATGGTTGAGGGTCACCACAACATGAGAAGCTGTATTAAAGGGTTGCGGCATTAGAAAGGTTGAGAACCACTGCCCTAGAGGAATGCAATGTCCCACGCTTCCAGCTCCCCATTGCCTGGCCCTACCAAGCTCATGCCAGCCAAGGCCTCAGTGCATGCTCCTTGGGTGGCTCTGAGGGTCGCACAGCTCAGAGAGAGACTGAGGCGTGTGGCTCTATGGCATGGGCCACCCCCCCCCACACACACACACCCTGGCACCACCGTTCTTGTGCAGAGCCCTACCTTCACATGGCTAAGTCCTGTTCTCTTTGGGCCTGATGAACTCTGCTGGCCTCACCCTCTGTCCCTGAGAATACACCCCAAAAGGTCAGCAGGCATACAGCAGGTGGCAGCTAGCTTTGGTGAACCCTCAGACTTCTGCTGTGTGGCTTCTGACACAGCACTGATGTGAACTTGAGCCTGTATCAGCTTGAGGAGCAGCTCTTACACTGACCTGCTGGCTCACTGAGAACCTACCTCATGCAAACTTGTGTCACCAGAGACTATTTCAGTTACTGAGCTTAATGGCAGGCTAATGCAGGTGGAGGAAGTCTTGGGGTTCCTTGGGCCTTTTACTAACCTGCCCCAGGGGCTTTGTGGAAGGGGCACAGCTTTGCTCCTCCCACATTCATCTGGGCCCAGCAAAGGCAACCAATACACATGGCTTGCTTTGCAGCTTCTGACAGGTAGCCCAGGGCCAGTCACAGGAAGCTTCTGACATTGACCTCCACTGGAGACTCTCCCAAGAGACCCCAGAACCCACACACCCTGCAGGATTCAGACCACATCAAAGCACAATCCAATTAACGCCACAACCATACATCCAAAGGGAGATCTCAGCAGGCACCAGACCCCATGGAGGCAAATTCCGCTTCATGTGGTCAGCCTCCACACAACAGTTTGTACAATATGGTCCGGGGTCAGTTCTCACAGTCAGCCACCCTGAGGATCAACCTCACCCACACAGAGGCCAAAAAGTAGACTCAACTACAACAGCAGGGCTCACATAATCCACACAACGGACATTCCTGGAGAACGTAACTCAGGTGATCAAGGAGACTGAGCCCCATGGAACCTACTACCATGACTGAGAGACATAGCAGATCTACCTAATACACAGAAACAAATACAGAGAGGCACTCAAAATGGGGAGACAAAGAAGCATTACCCCAATTAAAGAACAGGAGAAATCCATAGGGGAAAAAAAGAATTCAATGAAATGAAGGTAATCTATCAGAAACAGAGTTCAAAACAATGGTTCTAATGATGCTCAAGGAACTTGGGGGTGGAGGGGAATGGATTAACTTAATGAGAACTATAACAAAGACATAGCAAGCATAAACATATAAAAACATAGAAAAGAATCAGTCTGAAATGAAGATTAAATTATTTGAATTGAAGAATATACTAAAAGGAATGAACAACAGGTGAGATGAAGTAGGGATCTGATGGGCAATTTCAAAGACAAGGTAGCAGAAAACACCCCAGTGAGAGCAGCAAAATCAAAAAGGAATTTTTAAAAAATGAGGATAGCTTAAGGGACCTCTGGGACAACATGAAGTTTAATGCATCTGCAACATAGGGGTACCATCAGGAGAAAGAGATGGCAAGCAATTGAGAACTTTCTTTAAAAAATGACTGAAAATTTCCCTCACCTGGTGAAGGAAAAAAACACACAATTTCAGGAAGTGCAGAGAGTCCCAAACAAGATGAACCTAAAGAGGCCCACACAAAGACACATTTTAATTAAAATGCCAAAGTTTAAAGAGAGAATTTTAAAAGCAGCAAGAGAAAACATTAGTTACCTACAAGGGTGCTCTCATCAGACTGTGAGCTGATTTCTCAACAGAAAATTTGCAGGCCAGATGGATTGGCACAAAGTATTTGAAGTGATAAAAAGCAAGGATCTATATACAACCTAGAGTGCTCTACCCAGTAAGGCTCCCATTTAAAACTGGAGGAGAAAAAAAAAAAAGAGCTTCCCAGAGAAGGAAAGGTAACAGAGTTTATCACCACCAAACCAGTATTACAATGTTAATGGGACTTCTTTAAGAAGAAAAAAAAAATAGGAACATAATGTCTATCGTATATAATAAAAGTGTAATATGCACATTGACCCTAATGGCAGAATGACTGGCTGCTATGATGCTCACTGACCACCAGGAGGCAGACACTCAACACAGAAGCTGCACCCTGGTGGTCAGTGTGCTCCCACAGGGGAGATCCACTCAGCCACAAACTGGGCTGAGGGCTGCAAGGTCAGTGGCAGTGGCAGGAGTTGGACATAACCTGAGGGCTCCCAGGCTGCCAGAGGGATGTCTGACTGCCAGCTTATGCCCAATCCCCTAGGGAGCGGGCCTAAGCTGGCAGGTGGACATATCCCTAGGGTTCCTGGACTGCAAGAGGGTGCAGGCCAGGCTGAGGGACCCCCAGTACACGGATTTTCATGCACCGGGCCTCCAGTCTATAATAATAAAAGTGTAACATGATAATTAGACTGGATATCCTTCTAAACAACCTGCCAGACGAAGCCAGGGCTGTGAGGGAAGCCCAGGTCCCATGTGCCTGCTGGTAGCCAGAGGGAAGTCTGGGCCCCAGGTGCCTGCTGGAAACCTGGGTCTTGGGGGCCAGAGGGAAGCTGGTACTGGCAGCTGGAGGAAGGAAGGCCTATTCTTTCACGTATTTCGTGCATTGGGCCTCTAGTCCTACCTAATAAAAGAGTAATATGCAAATTAATCATCACCCCGACACACCCACAAGCCATGTCCACCAGCCACACCCACTGACCAATCAGAGTTAGTATGCAAATAAACCCAACCAAGATGGCTACAGCTGCAGAAAGCAGGAGGGAGGCCTGGGTTTCCCAGGCAATGGAAGAAGCCAAGCTTTCCACCTGCCCTTGCGGGCCTAGACCTCCATGTAAGGCTACAAAGTTTCAATTATAGAAGGTAAACAAATCCAAACTGAAATGGCTGCCAGCCCATAGCGAGCAGGAGGTTTGACTCTGCTCCAGGCTACAAAGTTTCAATTGTAGAAGATAAGTAAATTCCAGATACCAGGGACTCTGCTTGGGTCACTGGGGGGTGTGGCCACCCTGCAAACCAATACAGGCCCCTTAGGCTGCCCCATGCCCCAAGGGAACCCCCACTCAGATCCGGGATACCCTCAGGGCAAACCAGCTGGCCCTCACCCATGCACCAGGCCTCTATTCTATCTAATAAAAGAGTAATATGCAGATTGATCATCACTCCAACACACAAGATATCTGCCCCCATGTGGACACAAGATGGCCACCACAAGATGGCCAGCAGGGGAGGCAGTTGGGAGGGACCAGGCCTGCAAGGGAGGGCAGTTGGAAGCAATCAACCCTGCAGGGGAGGGCAGTTAGAGGTGATCAGGCCGGCAGAGGAGGGAAGTTGGGGGCAAACAGGCTGGCAAGGGAGTAGTTAGATGTCAATCAGGCTGGCAGAGAAGTGGTTAGGGAGTGATCAGGCTGGCAGGCAGAAGCGGTTAGGGGGCAACCAAGAAGTCAGGCAGGCGAGCAGTTGGGAGCTAGTAGTCCTGGATTGTGAGAGGGATGTCCGGCTGCCCATTTAGGCTCTATCCCTCTGGCCTAAATGGGCAGTTGGACATCCCTCGAGGAGTCCTAGATTGGAGAGGGTGCAGACTGGGCTGAGGGACAGCTCCCCGAACCCCCTTGCACAAATTTTGTGCACCAGGACTCTAGTATATATATGAAAGCCTAAGCAACTGTTATGGAGGTACATCTGGAACGATCATTATGATGCACACTGAGCAGACAGGCAGATGACTGGTTAGGAGTGAGTAGGGAGGCAGGTGAGCAGTTAGGGGCAAACAGACAGGCAAGTGGTTAAGGGGTGAGCAGACAGGCAGGCAGACAAGTGAGCAGTTAGAGGCCAGCAGGCAGGCAAGTAGTTAGGGGATTGGTCCCGGATTGCAAGAGGGATGTTCGACTACTGGATGTCTGACTGCAGGGATTGGGCCTAAACTAGCAGTTGGACATCCCATGAGGGGTTGTGGATTATGAGAGGGTGCAGGCCAGGCTGAGGGATCCCCTCCCCATGCATGAATTTCATTCACTGGACCTCTAGTTTATATATATATAAAAGCCCAAGTGACTGTATGACCTGGTTGTTATGACACACACTGGCAAAATTTATGAGGAACCACAAAAGGCCCCATCTAGTCACAGCAATCTTGAGAAAGAGGAACAAACTTACACTATATACTACCAGTCTATAGTAATCAAAACAGCATAGTGTTAGCATAAAGACAGACATATATATAGATCAATGGACCACAGAGAATGCAAAACTCATAAACCCATGCCAATGTGGTCAATTAATATGTGACAAAGGAGGCAAGAACATGCAAATGAGTGAAGACAGTCAATAAGTGACTTTGGGAAAATTGGACAGATACATAAAAAAAAATGAAACTAGACCACCTTCTTAGCCCATATACAAGAATAAACTCAAAATGGATTAAGCCTGGTAACCATAAAAGTTTTAGAAGAACTATCATAAAGGGAAACTAAGGAAGTAAAATCTCTGATATTTCTCTTAGCAATATATATTTCTGATATGTATCCTTAGGCAAGAGAAGCAAAATAAACAAAGAAACAAAAAGTTTTTTTTTCAAACAAAAAGTTTTCACACAGCAAAGGAAACCATCAACATCAAACAAAAAGTTTTCACACAGCAAAGGAAACCATCAACAAAACAAAAAGACAACCTACTTAATGAGAAAAGATATTTGCCAGTGATACATCAGGTAAGGGGTTAATATACCAAAATTTATAAATAATTCATACAACTCAACACTGAAACAGAAAACCTGATTTAAAAATGGGCAGAGGATTCCCTGATCTGGTTGTTCAATTGGTTGGAGTGTTATCCCAGACTCCATAGCGTTGCAGATTCGATCTCTCATCTAGTCTTGTATGGGTGGCAACCAGTTGATGTTTTTCTCTCACATTGATCTTTCCCTCTTTCTCTCTCTCTCTTCCTCTCTAAAATCAATAAAAACATATCCTCTGGTGAGGATAAAAAACATGGGCTGGGACCTGCATAGACACTTCTAAAAAGAGAACATGCAGATGCCCAATAGACATGAAAAGATGCTCAATGTCACTAATCATCAGATAAATGCAAATTAAAACCAGAATGGCTCTTATCAATAATCAACAAACAACAAGAGTTGGTGAAGATGTGGAGAAAAGAGAATCCTCAGGCACTATTGGTGGGAATGAAGATTGGTGCAGCCACTATGGAAAACAGTATGAAGTTACCTCAAAAAAATAAAAATGAAACTGCTTTATGATTTAATGATTCCACTTCTGGGCACATATCTTAAAAAAAAAATAAAAAACACCAAAAAACACTAATTCAAAAGAATATAAATACCACTATGTTCATTGCAGCATTATTTACAATAGCCAAGTTATGGAAACAGCCCAGCATCCATCAAAGGACAGTGGCTAAAGAAGAGGTAGTACAGATATACAATGGAATATGACTAGGCCATAAAGAAAAAAAAAAAAAAAAAGGAGTCTTACCATCTGGACCTAGAAGGTCTTATGCTAAGTGAAATAAGCCAGTCAGAAAAAGACAAATACAGAACAGCATAAATGAACAAACAATATAGAAATAGATACCAAGAACAGATTGATAGTTGCCAGGAAGAGGTGTGTTGAGGGAACTCAGTGGAAAGGTGAAGGATGTGGGTTTAGCCACAACCAGCATGGCTAGAGAGTAAATGAGACCTGAGTAGGGGTGACTGAGGAGAGAGAGAGAGAGAGAGAGAGAGAGAGAGAGAGAGAGAGAGAGACTTAGACAGTAAGTAAAGCTGGGACCAGGTGGACACTGTTCTTGATGGAGAGACAGTGACTCAGAGCTAGTGCAGCGTGTTTATTATATACAGTATGATACCAGGATGTTTTACTAGAATTTAAGACAAAGGAAATTATGTGAAATCATGCTTTAAAGATCAGGCTGCATTCTTCATTCTTGTGGCTTCTCATAATTGTCAGGACTGGCTGGTCCCAGATAATTCATCTGTCCCTGGCGCCTGAGTGAACCTAGATAATGGCACCCACCCCCTGGTGCCTGAGCTAAAGGTCAGGACTGACAACATTCCTGTCTTTGGCAAGGTATATTTCCAGGACGGCTTTGCTGACAGTGCTAGATTCAGCTGACAACCTTTGCTCAGGGGCTCTCTACAGAAGGGATTAAGAAGTACAATTGGTATTGTAGTTACAAAGCAGTTGTGAGGATGTAAAGTACTGCATAGGGAATACAGTCAATAATATTGTGATAACTGTATGGTGCTGGGTGGGTACAGGAAATATCAGGAGGGACGTCTTGCAAGTATGACTTCTTACCACTATGCTGTGCACCTGAAACTAATACAAAATAACGTGGAATGTAAACTGTAATTGAAAAACGAAATCTATAAAGACTACATTGGTTCAACCTTCTAATCAAAAGAAAAAGAATTATGAGGGCAAAAAAGTGAGGAAGAGAGGTAAGCTGCAATCTGAATCAAAGTCAGCTGGATAGCCGAAACCGGTTTGGCTCAGTGGATAGAGCGTCGGCTTGGGGACTGAAAGGTTTCAGGTTAGATTCCGGTCAAGTGCATGTACCTGGGTTGCAGGCACATCCCCAGTAGGGGGTGTGCAAGAGGCAGCTGATGGATGATTCTCTCTCATCGATGTTTCTAACTATCTCTCTCTCTCTTCCTCTCTGTATAAAATCAATAAAATATATTTTTTAAAAAACAAAAAAAAAACCCACAAAAAAACACAGTCAGCTGGATAGAGAAGGAGCAGGAGGGAGGGAAGGGTTAGTCTCTGACTTCCTGTTGCTCTTCCCAAGGGCATCCTCAGCGGAAGAGCAACAGGAAGTCAGAGACACGAACAGCAGCATGGGGTGTGGATGGACAGGCTGTCTAGTTTGTAGAGCGTAGATTGTGGTCAGGGCAACAGAGGAGGCTGGATGATGAATAAAGACCAGTCCGGGGAAGACCTTGACCACTATGAGGGAGTTTGGACTTTACCCAGTGGAGAGAAGGAGTGGGTTCCAGGAGACAGTGTTGAAGTTTTGGGTGTTGAGATTTACCTCTGGTGTCCAAGAATATGGCCATGAATATGTTTAGCACAGGATAAAATTAAATCAAGACCCAATTTTGAGAATATAAACCTTCCTACTTTTAAGACAAACTTGAAATCAGAGCATATGTGCTTCTAGATCTTCTAGATGGACACTTTGTCACTTGGTAACACCAGAGAGAAGGAAAGAAAAAGTTGAAAAGGAGTCTTTTGGCTTCTTTGCCTACAAATAGATCTCTTCCTATCAAAGGATTTGTTGGAAACAAACAAGAAAAAAGACAGAAACTGCTGGCTGAATGTAATCCCTCCCAGAAAAGAAGAGGTCAGCAGGTCCCTGCCCCTTGCCCACACGGAGGCTGAGTCCATCAGATTGATTCTCCTTTGGTTTTCTTTGCAGGTGAAGCCTTATTAGAAAGTAACACCATTATTGACCATGTCTATTGTTCCCCATCCCTGCGCTGTGTTCAGACTGCACACAACATCTTGAAAGGTAAGACTTGGTAAAGGTCAACTAGTCCTTCCTTCTGTCTCCAGGCAGATTCCTAGACTCATGGGATATTAGCCAAGTCAAAACTTCAAATTTGGAATTTTTAGCAATGATTTTTTTGGGAGATGTCTCTGTAAAAGTCTCCAAATCATATGCTTGCAGCACAAAGTGTGATGAAAGGATGTATACAAATAGTTTTTTTGAGAATGTTTTTCTTGGTGGATTGCAGGCATCTAAAGTATTGTTGTCTGCGGTGGCTTAAAGCCTGCAGCCCCCTGAACAGGGCCTTTCCTCCACCTCTTCCTTCTGCTCCCAGGAGCAGTGGTCCTTGTGCCTGCAAACCTCAGTCGTCCGGTTTCTTAACGGGATATAAAAGCACCATTGTTAGAAAGGGAAATCCTAGGAGCTGGAGTTCTAGGGATCACCATTCTTGTTTCACTGGAAAGAAACTAGAAGAAACTACGTGGGACCGTTTACTTATACAAAATAAGGAATGAGCCAGAAATAGCCGAGCTTACAAATAATTTACACTATATTAGACTGCTATTCATTAGTCTTAAGTGAACCAGGATGTATTTACATATTAAAATGCATTATGTATTAAATTTGCATAGAAAAACTTGGCTTAAGGCAACATAAAGAGAGTTAATAGGGGCCAATTCCCCACTCTGAGGGTAATTACACAGCAATAAAACACAAACTTGTACGCTGGCACTTGTAAATAATCAACATTGGATGCTCTGATAGAGAAAGTGAATAATTTACATGTAATTCAAATAAAGTGAAAGCTACTGTAGACTAGTGGATGCTAAGAGAATCTCTCAAGTGTCTTCATAAGACAGTTTTGGCACTTACTTATGAAAAGGAATCGTAGCAGTCATAGAACTGTGTAAGTTATGAGGATAATGACTTAGGGTTTATTTCTAAATCACACACCACTTCAAGCTAACATATGTCCATTCTAGTGGTATGGGCCCAATATTCAACTCATACATTTGTAACTCCAAAAATTAATCACCTTGTCCAAACTCACATACTTCCACTTTATTTTACTCTACTAGTGTAATGATATCTGGTTGAAAAAAAGAATGGAAGGTTGACCAGAATTTTTATCACAATTTGGCTTCTATTTGCTTTTTCTCTGAGGACATAGTGGTGTTTCCTTCACCTTCATTTTATTTTACCTCTAAGGTTTACAACAAGAAAATCATTTGAAGATCCGTGTAGAGCCTGGCTTATTTGAGTGGACGAAATGGGTCGCTGGGAACACATTACCTGCGTGGATGCCTCCGTCAGAGCTAGCTGCAGCCAACCTGAGCGTTGATACAACCTACAGGTAACCCCAAAACTGCTGCTTCCTGAGCCCAGCGCGGAAGTGCTTTCTATCGCAGGCCAGCTCCTTAAGGAGATGAAAGACCCGACAGAGCCCACAGGCATGATATCAAACTCCCACAGTGGAGGAAGCCAGAATCCTCTTGTATTTAGCTTACTTTAGATTATATCCCCCCGTACACATTGGATTTTCATGACTTTATTCTACCTCTTTCAGTGAATAATAAAACCACTTTGTGTCCCAGGGTCAGGCACCATCCAAAGATGAGAGAGTTCCAGAAGCTTGTTGGGAGATAAGGGAAGTGACCACGTCTTAAATGGTCATATTTAGTTTTTCAAAACATTTTTTATTGCTTGAGCGATAGGAAGAGAAACGTCGATGTGAGAGAAACATCTATCAGTTGCCTCCCGCAAGTACCCAGACCAGAAACAGAACCCGCCACCTTTTGGTGGGCCACACCAGCCAGGCATCAGACATTTTTAATTCTCTATCATTTATTATTGCCATCATCCCAGAATATAAACAAGTCACTTTTATATATAAGAGATTGCAGTTGGCTTTGCCTAAAGTTGTATGTCTAGAGGGCATTTATTACAGTAATAATCATAACAACTAGTCTTTATTGATCGTTCTCTGTATGTGAAGGACTGTGTAAGCTCCTTTACAGTCTTCTCGTTCTCAATCCTTTGCTGTTCTCCATCTAACCAGGTTAAAAAGAAGTGTTTGTACATTGATCACAAGTGAATAACCCAGATGTAAACAATTCAGAATTCACCAGTAATGATATAGTTACATTACCTATCAGAAATTCCCTCAGACATTTGTAAAATGCCTTTGAGGAGGGACACATACATAGTCATAATTATTATGGTGGGAAATTAAGTTCATACCCTTAGGCAGAATTTAGAACAAATGACTAATATAAGCAGAGATTTCTTCCCTCTGATATCCTTTGACCTTTCATTTCAAATATCTATCTAAACTACAAATTAAGCCATATGAGCTTTTAGCTAAGATAGGAGAAAACATCTTTTTTCCCATGCTCATTTTCATGCTCTGCAAATAAGATCTCATAAAACACCATAAATAATTAATGTGCCTACTTCTCTCTTAGAGGAATTTGCATTCCTTAAAAATAAAATTAAAGCCCTTACTAATATCCTTCAAATTTTGTCCTGTTCGCAGTATTGTCATTTGTTTTTTTTTATTCTTTGAGGAAAACAGCAATAAGCTGTTGTCTCATGCCAACAGTCATCATTTTTTCGGGCCTGGAAAGAGGATGAATTGCTGCCAATTTTGGTAAAAGAATTTCCTCACTCACCACCCAGCACCTCCCAGGTCCACTTGGGCTTCAACTTTTCCCTTAAGTGAGTCCTACAATTCTTCCCAAGCTGATTTACAGATATCTCCAGGATCTTTCTATCTGCCAGTTTGAATGCATGCAGACACCCCCTGGCACACATAGTCCTCACACCCCATTACTATATAGTATAAGCCAAATAATGAATACCAGGAACCTGGGAGTCAGAACAGGGTCTTTATTACAGATTTTCTCTTCCTCTACAGAAAATGAAAATCCAATCATTTTATTTTTAAGAGGGGGAAAAAGCTTCAGCCTCTGACTTTATAAATCTATTGTGAAAGTCAGTAATTTATCACATACATGTGAGAGCTACCACCTGGGGTTAAATTTTCTCTGTAACTAGTTATGCACAGGATTGGGCCTTTAGAAGCAAGCAGTGATACAGATGACTGAAGAAACAGAGACAGGCAAGGACTGACAGGCTGTTACAGGTAAAGCAGGCACTGTTTGAAGAGCCCTGTCACCTTAGAACAGGATGAGGTAGGGCTGGGAGTCAGGTGAAGGGAAACTAACCAGGCTGGTGACTGATCTCCTGTGTCACGTCACCCCAGGCAGCAGACATCACTGAGGGTAGAAAGCATCCCCAATCTTAGGGAGCTGGACCCAAAGGAGCAAGACAGAAAAAATATATACAACCATTGGGTGGAGCTTCAGAATAAGGTTTTGACTGGGTGTGTTAGGAAATGGGGGACGAAGGGGGCATGGACTTAGAGTGTTACAGGGGAGATGATTCAAACTTTGTTGTGGGGCTCAAAGCAGAAGCCTAGCCCTGCTAGGTGAGGAGACGAGCATTTACTGGGGAGAATCATGTTCCAGGGATGGTGCCTGAGCACCCAAACCTCCAGGTTCCAGGTCTAGTTGGTGATTGGGGGCCACCTGATGCTGCACGTATGTGCCCTGTGGGTGTGGCTAGAGATTGGCACATGCTATGGACAGGGTGGGGAATCTTTGGCTCTGTCCCATGCCCATCGGGACTGCTGGCTCAAACATGGAGGTCCTTCATGGGTTCAACTTCAAGTCAAGAACTGCCAAAGGTGCTCCCCCTCGCTGTCTCCTCGGCCTGCACTGCTGCTCCGCCACTCTGTCAGCTCCACTGCCTTCCTGCCCGAGTGCCGCCCGGACGGCCGCCATGGCGAACATGGTCAACATGAGGCTGTACGACATCCTGGGCGTGCTGCCCGGCGCCAGTGAGAAGGAGCTAAAGAAGGCATACAGAAAATTAGCCCCGGAATACCACTCTGATAAGAATCCAAATGCTGGTGACAAATTCAAAGATATAAGTTTTGCATATGAAGTGCTATCAAATCCTGGGAAACACAAGTTATATGAGGGATATGGAGAACAAGGCCTGTGGGAAGGCCTTGGTGGAGACGATGGCATGGACGGGATCTTCTCTCACGTTTTCGGTGGGGGACTGTTTGGCTTCATGGGCAATCAGAGTAGCAGTCGAAACGGCAGAAGAGGAGAAAATACCATGTATCCACTTAAAGTGTCTTTAGAAGAACTGTATAGTGACAAGACCTCCACACTGCAGCTTAGCAAGAGCGTGCTCTGCAGTGCGTGCAAAGTCACGGGCTGTTCAGAAGAGCAGTGCCGGCTGGGGTCGTGGCGTCCGCATCACGATCCGACAGCTGGCCCCGGGAAAGGTGCAGCAGATGCTCCGCCTGCAATGGAGAAGGAGAGGTAAATGAGAAGGACCGCTGTAAAAAGTGCGAAGGGAAGAAGGTGATTAACGAAGTCAAGATTCTCAAAGTCCATGTGGACAAGGGCATGAAGCACGGCCAGAGTGTCACGTTCGCGGGGGAAGCAGGCCAGGCCCCAGGAGTGGAGCCGGGAGACAAAGTTCTCTTGCTACAAGAGAAAAAACACGAGGTGTTCCGGCGAGATGGCCACGATCTGCACGTGACGTACAAGATAGGCCTCCTGGAGGCCCCCAGTGGCTTCCAGTTCACATTCAAGCACCTCAGTGCCCAGCAGATCGTGGTGAAGTGCCCGCCCGGCAAGATGATCGAGCCGGGTGCATCTGGGTGGTTCAAGGTGAAGAAATGCCACAGTATCATAACCCCTTTGAGAAAGGCAACCTGTACATAAAGTTTGACATGGCGTTTCCTGAGAGCAACCGGGTCAACCCCAACAAGCTTTCTGAACTAGGAGACCTTCTGCCATCCCGACCGGAAGTCCTGAACATCATCGGAGACAGGAGGAGGTAGAGCTTCAGGACTTTGACAGCACTGGGGCTCAGGAGGCTGGCAGAGGCGTGAGGCCTACAACGACAGCTCCGACGAGGAAGCAGCAGCCACCACAGCCCGGGTGTGTGGTGTGCCCATCAGTGAGCCACACGGCACAGGCGGATCTCCTCCGTGTGCCCTGTTGGTCTTCAGCGGCCCAGCCAGAGGGTCCGTCAACCCGAATGAACTGATGGATATCTCCTGGTCTATGTGTAACTTTAAAGTAGATATAGTAACTACAGAGTGTATAATTGAACTAGCCACAGAAGTCTGCATCTTCATCTGACTGGTCTGTGCAGAGGAGAGCACTCAAGGAGGCAGGACTGACACGTGTTTCCAGGCCCGCCTGGTCTGTGCATGGTTTCTATCCGTATAGATTTTTGTTCCATGTTTGCACCTCGAAGCCCACGTTGGAAAGTCTGTGTCCAGTATGTCCTGGAGCTTGTGTTTGGCTGCACCTGTATCATAAGCTGCTACAAGCAGAATAAAGAGTTTCCAAGACTGCACCTCACGTAGGTGCAAGGATGTGGGCTTTGCACATAGGGCTTGGAGCTGACTGGGAACAGTGGAAATGACACCAGTGGTGGTTGTCATGTTGGTTTTTTCCCCCTCTTTTTCTTATTTTTTATCATCTTGTGAAAGGTTTGGAAACTTAGTAATAAAAAAAACAGTTGGTGTTAAAAAGAAGAAGAAGAAGAAGAGGAGGAGGAGGAGGAGGAGAAGAAGAAGGAGAAGAAGAAGGAGAAGAAGAAGGAGGAGGAGGAGGAGGAGGAGGAGGAGGAGAAGAAGGAAGAAGAAGAAGAGGAGGAGGAGGAGGAGGAGGAGGAGGAGGAGGAGGAGAAGGAGGAGGAGGAGGAAGAAGAAGAAGAAGAAGAAGAAGAAGAGGAACTGCCAAAGGCAAGAGCTGGCCAGAAGGAACTGGATCCCAGCAGCCACTTGTTCTTCATATATATATATATATATATTTATATATATATATATATATATATATATATATATATATATATATATTTTTTTTTTTACTGATATTTTACAGAGAGGAAGGGAGTGGGATAGAGAGTTAGAAACATCAATGAGAGAGAAACATTGATCAGCTGCCTCCTGCACACCTCCTATTGGGGATGTGCCCACAACCAAGGTACATGCCCTTGACCAGAATCAAATCAAGGACTCTTCAGTCCATTGAGCCAAACCGGCTAGGTTGGCCACTTGTTCTTTATTTACAATGTGGTTTAACTTTTTAAATGACTGCATGGACCATATAAAGAGGCCTTTTCTCCTAGAGGAAGGGAAGTGCAAGACCAGGCGATGTAAGTGGTAATAGCACTAGATGAGAGGTTGGAGAGAAAGAGTTTGCTCCAGGACAATGAGGTGCATCCTTAATGAGTGGTGATCATGTCTCCCCAAAGCTC